GCTTGGTTTTGTAAATCTGGGTTTATTCTGAGAAATTTAAGTCTATGTTTATTGGTTTGATAAGTCAGTCCAAAACCAAGTGATTCACGTGATATTACCCAGCACCACCTTATTGAGCTGCCAAGAAGCTGGTCCAGCTGTGTGGGCGGTCTCGATTGTTTTGTTTAATATTTACACAGATCGATCGATGAAACATACAGTCAATTACGTGGGTATATTGAAGGTTGGTGTGGGAAGAAAGCAATGATGACGACATAAATTTAAGAGAAAGACTGCACATAGTAGCAATAAGAGAATCCGTGATGGAAACAACTTTCACTGTGATTCAGATGGAAAACTTTCCATCTGATAAAATTACGAAATTGTCCTTGATTAATTGTCAGAGAGCCAATAAAATATTTTAAAATATCACAATTGCCCATACTTCCCCTTCCTTTCGCAATACAAGGGAACAGCATGAAATCCTTCCCCCGATCTCCCCTCACTGGTTTTCTCATTGGCTTCTTCTCCATCCCCACTATCCCCACTCTCTTCCATCCAGTCGATTGAGTTGGAGCAATCGAATCCTGACATCTCAAAAATTGTTTTCTCGTTCATGTACAAAACATTTTCCAATGACGTCACCATTGCATTCTCCGGCTTTGCATCATTTGGCGAACGACATCGCATCCGACTGTTGAGACAGAAATGCCTCCGCTGCTACCTTCTGAATGTCCTTGACATCGGTAAGGGTGAGCAAAAAAACCGAAAAATTGGTTATCCGAACCAGTTGGTTGGGTTTCAGTTAACCATTTAAGAAAACGGCAGTTAACTGAACTGATCGATATATATATATATATATATGTTTTAGTTTTTTTGAAAATTGGCAATTTGAACATGCATCATTGCGAGCTGTGCTATTCCCCTTTTCTAAAGAAAGTCAAGAAATCTATTCTTAAATCTTAAATTAAGAATGCTATCAGCACAATAAATAATATAATATTGTGTTGTTTGTTTTTTGAGGTAGGAGTGCAGGGAGTTCACATCTCTGCCCCACAAACACCCCACAGCACATCCTGCCGTGTATTGTGAACATCTCCTGATGATAGTACTAATCCCGATGATGTCATTATTTGGAGATGTTTACAATACACGACGGGATATGTTATGGGGCATTTGTGGGGTGGCTCCTTGTGGGGTGGAGATGTGATCTCGAGTATAGGACAAAGGACACAATGACACATATAGAATAGGCTAATAGGGGTGCTCACGGCTTTTCGACTACCGATCTCCTCTCTTTTGTCTCAATTTTCTTTTTGTCTCTCTCACTTTTTCAGTTCTCTTAGTCTCTAAGTCTTTTTCTTCTTCTTCTATTCAGGATTTTAACTCTTTTTATTCCTCACTCCAAACGATCATGCGGCCTACGCCAACCACTAGTACGGCAGCACCAAGCGGCAATGTCAGTCGCCGCCTCACCGACAAGCAAACACCAAYGGTCCAATACCATCTCTTCTCTCTCTCTCTCACTTCTCCTCTTTGCGTCTCCGCTAGGCACCAATTGTGCCACCTTTCAAACTCTCACTTTAGGCGACGCTTGACAGCAACCACCGGGACCAATCAGTCTAGCACCGATAGTAACCAACGGCACCAACCAGTTCGACACCTATAATTTCAGTTTTTTTTTTATTGTAACTACATAAAAAAACTGAAAAACCGAACCACGGTTAATCGGTGCATTAGTTTGATTTCGATTTAAATATTTAAAAAATTGATCAGATCCGTTTTTCTAAAACAAGAAAATTTGTAAGAATGCGTATTACTATTTCCAACGAACAAAGAATCAGATTTCCGATAAGAACGCAAATCAGAACCTATTAATAAAATCAAGACAGAAAGGAGAAGATTTGAAAACCGGAGACTACCTTGCTTCAGTTCTTGAGGATCTGGAGTTCGCGATTGGAGGTGTTGAAGAAGAGAACAGAGTAATGTTTTAATGGCTTCTTTTGCATCTGAATCTGAAACTTGGAAGAAGAATTCGAAATCAATGAGGGGAGATCGGGTGAAGGATTTCATGCCGTTCCCTTCTATTGCGAGAGGAAGGGGAAATAGCCAAGTAGGGGCAATTCCGATATTTTGAAATATTTTATTGATTCCCTAACCATTAATCAGGGATAATTTCATAGTTTTATGAAAATTTAAAAGTTGAAGGTATGTTTTTACTAAAATAAAACTAAAGGAAAAATTTTTATGATTGTCAGAAAGTTTAGGGGAGTTTTTTTTTTTATTTTATGACATACCCCATACTCGAGTCTTAACCATCATCTGTATTATCTTCAGTGAGAGAGAGAGAAAGTCGGTAAACCACAAATTCGTGGCTATAAAATAGGTTTCGTGCCGATCTTGTTTCAACACAGAAGACACAAGCCACTTGTTCAAAATTTCGACCTCAGAGTTCATAGACTTCCAAGTTTCAACCATGTCGATCAAGTCAAAGAATTCAAAATCTGTAAACTCGTTTGTTTACTAGTAATTAGTTACGATGTATTTGAATCGGTGTTTTCCACCTTCGTTGAATTTGGTGGTCAAACCGGTGACAGAAACAGCATATTGAGAGACTTCAGTAATTTACTGTGTCATTTTTTATTAAAACTCTAGAGGATCTTGGGATATTTGTTATGAATAGCGATGCGATTGTCTTACAAAATCGGCTTAAAATGGTTTTTTCGACAACTTAGCCCTATTATACACCCGTTAAGCTGTCACATGCCCCAAACATTAAAACACAAGGGGAATGAATGCCCCTGAAAACGAGAAAACATCATTTTTGACATTTTCTAACAAACATTTCTCACGTAAATCGAAAAAAATGTTTATGAGATAAACAGTTCAACCAAATAATAAAGTTGTTTTTTTTTTTTTTTTTTCCTTTTTAACCTCTGAAAAACGTCATCAATACCAAACACCATCTGATTAATAAAAATTAAAAAAAAAAGAAAAAGAATTTCAGGGGAAATGAACTACCAAACAGGACAAATGGAATGGAAGTGCAGCAACTCAGCAAGAGTTGGCCCTTGTCCCTTGTAGATTCCACCATCCCTTAAAATGCTGAAAATATGGCTAAAAATCCGCCTTTCTCGATCTAATTGTCGGGCAAAGTGCGGATTGCAGAGGAATCACATATTTATATTTTATTATCTTACCCTTTTCTCAGCTTGCATCCCAATCCAAATGTAACCTTATGAATTTCTTATTGATAGTTTGATACTATATGCATTACTTGAGGTACCTTGAAGTCGATATACCATATACGTGGATCTAATGCATTGTGGCGTCGAAAAAAATGCATTGTTAAGTTTGGAGSTTTTTTCTATCAAATCAAAGATAAAAGACGTATCGACATTGGAGTCCAATGTCGCCCTAGCGAAGCAAGCGTGTGAATTAATATATCAACTCAGTATTTTGCATTCTACATATTTAGAAGGAATACAAATACAAATATGTAGAATATAAAACCTTATAATTTTATATGTTATTATATTATATTATATATATTTGTATTTGTATTCTTTCCAAACTGAGCCTAAGGAATGTAAAATCTAATAAATTTCACTGGCACGGTTGCATGCACCATACTCGATTTGTCCCATTGAACACTTTTTAGGAGTCTTATATATCCTTATTTGTGAGAAAAAACAGGATAATACAAAAGCACATCCACCTCTTTAATGATCGCAATATGGTTTAGCTCGAATATGCCACGCCAAAGAGATTGGCTAGCACTGAGGTCGGAAAAGAAAAGAAAAGAATGTAGAGAGACCTATTATATAAGGTTTGTAAAAGTTTCTCTTTCTTCAAACCAAATACCGCCTTACACCCACCCCTGTAACAGGCAATAATAATTTTCAGCAAAGTTAAAATTGATGAAAGAAGAAAACTTATTGTAACAGTGGTATAAGCGGAAGGCGGAAGGCGGAAGGAAGGAATACTGGATAATGAAGCCGAAAAGTGGGGGAATTGACGGCGTAAGCATAAGGTTGGTGTATATATCATATTATATTTTGGTCAACTGTGGCAGTCAATAGCCAAAATTTTGAATTTTCCGCACACAAAAAACCTTTTGAGGACTAGGCGAGTCCTCCGACCACTACGTCAAATTACTTTTATGCCTCGCTCTTTTTCATAATGCCCATCTTATATACCAACCTCTCATATCATCTCAAGATTTCAGCCGTCCCCTAACTCACGTCTCGGATGTGACGTCTAGGTAGGAGTGCCAACGACCCGAATTTTTCACGAGTTGGTTTAAGTTCACTTCATGAAAAGCGTAATTTGATTTTAATTAAGTTCGAGTTAGAATTTGAGCTCAATTCAGTGATTCCATTATTAAACGAGTTGAGTTCAAATTTATTAGAACTCAGCTCGCGAAGTTTGCGAGTAATGATACCGAAGACTGCATCAACAATCAACTTAATCCAAGAAAATGTATAAAAGCTGGTATTAGCAGACAAATCAAATAAAATCATGGGTCCATCCAGTTCAGGTTACTTTGGTGTTCAAGACAAATGAGATGCGATGGCCCAATTGAATAACAAACATAATAGAGGATGACACTAATTGGATATGGAACATGATGATAGAGATAGAGACCTTCTAAAAGTATTTTAGGATTATTAAACAGATCAAAGAACTTCATTTCTGAAGTAGTTGTTTTACACTAACATGTAAAAGAAGTTCTGATAATAAAAAGATTCTTAGTATTGATTTAAATTCTCAATTAATGACAGTAATTTCTGTTGCTAATAAAAAATAAAATAAAATTGTCGGATTTCATCAGGAAAAAAAGACTAAAATTGTTAGCTTGGCTAAGGGAGGTGAAACCAGATTACCAGATCCAAAGCCTCTCAATTAAGAAAGAAAAGAAAACAATACTCTTATCAATTATTTGGATAAGGCAAGGATGATACTTCATCCAAAGATAACACTATAAGTGGCGATAGGAGTGAACCTTTTGGTATACCAACAACAAGATTTTTCTGGAATTTCATTTTACCCCAGCTTGGTATAAGCAAAATTTGTGTTCTTTTTGGGCTTTTGCCTTATTAACTCATGTATTCAGTTATTATCCATAAAGAAAATAGAAAAGTTAATCCTTAATACACATGGTTCAAGAAAAGGAGCAACTACTAATAAATAGATATGTATGAAGGATACCAAATATATAGCAATATAATTGCAAACTCCAAGCAAAAATAGTTCACAATGTAGAGCCAAGCCATCTCCATGGATGCAATATGCAAGAACCAGCCTCTCTTGTTCCCTGGGCCCACCAGGGATCTTACCCTTAAAATTGTTCTCGGACAAGTCAAGGTACTCTAAGCCACTAAGCTTGTTCATCGCACTTGGTATCTCTACTAATAAAGTGTTCCTTGACAGATTTAGCAACGTAAGCCTCTCCATGTTACCTATTTCAGAAGGCAATGAACCTATCAATAAGTTACAAGAGAGATCAAATGATTCCATCTATGAATAAGAAGGTTGAACCAATAACTTGGATGTCCGTGAGCCTTGAAAAGTGATTGTTCCTCTAAACTTATTTCCTGAAAGGTTCAATTTTGTCATTGTCAAAGAAGTAAAGAAACCACTTGGAATAGGCCCAGTAAGCTCATTAGTTGAAGCTAAAATCAATTATAGACAATCTTGGATTGGATAGATCCCAAATTCAGAAAGTAGGTCACCTACGATATAGAATTATTTGAAATCATAATAGAAATCAATCTCTGAAATTGATTTGTCAGATTTGGAAAGCTTCCAGATAATGCATTTGAACTCAAATTGATAACCTCCACAATGTCTCCCCAACCTTGCATGACAAAAATATCACCAGAAAAATTGTTTTTGCTCAAGTCCACCATCAMGCATTTRCAAGAGTAGAAGGCAATGAGCTTGAGAGTATATTTGATGAGAGATTTAAAAATTTCATAGTGGTGGAGTTAATTACATGAATAGAACCTATATACATGATATTCTCAGAAATTAGACATATCTTCAAGTAAAAGCAGTTGCCAAGAAAAAACACCAATAAAGCAAGGATCTTTTAATATTCTGGGAGAACAAAAATGGAAAGGATGCAAACAGTAGAGAACCTAGAAAATGCAATTTCTACCACTAGTAGATCGTCTTTTGAAGCTTCTACACACTCAACCTTTCGATTTTTGTCCAAACACCCTCTGTTATGAGAAATCCACATACTCGACCCCATTTTGAAGAATCAAATGGGGTGCCTGCAATGATAGCGGTAAGAATCCAAAAACATAAATGAACAATGAAAGCAGATACAATTTAACAGCCTAAATCAAAATATAGAAATTGCTATTCCAACTATTTGCCTCATGTGCGAGAGAAAGACTGAAATAGAAAGAGAAGAGAATGATAAAAGGAAAGAGGGAGAGAGAGAAATTACCTATTTGATGCCGGTGTTCGTTGATGTCGTCCGGTGGTGAGAGGTCGACGTCGACTGTGAGAGAGACATCGCAGGAAGAGAATGAGTGTTTAGAGTGGAACAGGGCAATGTAGAACTTTAACTGGTAGGCCTGCAGGGTTGATTAATAGAGAGGAAAGAGTTCCAAAACGAAAGGCAATAGAAAGAAAGAGTGAAAGAGGAAGATAGGTTGATTTAGTGGGTGGGAGGGAAAGAGGAAAAAAGGCGGGATTCAGTTGTCGCCAATTGGGTTTAGACTCGCCGCTGGTTGCAGCGGAGGGAGAGACTCCTAGGCGCGGTCAGGAACGGCGTTGAGTGTGACAAAAAGAGAGGGAATGGGGGAAGAAGAAAGAAGGAAGAGGAAGAGAGAGGGAGATCGGAGAGAAGAGGAGAAGACGGATGGGGTTATTTCTGCCGCTCTAATCCGCTGCTGCGTGTCTTCGTTCGAATAGGGAGGAAGAGAAGCCTACCTTCGAATTTTTCCGATTAGGGCAAATGAGACCCAAGACGGCGAGAGAAAGAGAGAATATGAGAGAAAAAGTCCTATTTTCGTATTAGGAGAGAGGGTACGAAGGCGCGCGCGGGATTTCAAACTTTTTTTCGGTTTTTTATGAGTCATTGATATTTGCAAAAAGGGTAGCAAAATACGCTTAGGGCTCCGTAGTAGAGGTGTAAATCACTTTGGACCGGCCTGGCACAGCCCAACACAAATGCAAACGGAAACAATAACTTTTAACCACAGACAAATTGTTCATAGTTAAAGTTCAACTTTTATTTTTGTAATTTATATCTACGAATACATTATAASCGTGGCTATAAGTATCTTTTAGCACGGAAAGAATAATTTTTAACCACAGGCAAATTATTCGTAGTTAAAATTCAACTTTTTCTTTTGTAAACTTATAACCACGAATACATTATAACCGTGGTAATAAATATCTTTTAGCCACGGGCAGAATAACTTTTAACCACGGACATTTTGTCCGTAGTTAAAGATCAATTTTTAACCACAGATTCATTATAACCGTGGCTATAAATATCTTTTAGCCACGGGCAGAATAACTTTTAACCACGGACATTTTGTCCGTAGTTAAAGATCAATTTTTAACCACAGATTCATTATAACCGTGGCTATAAATATCTTTTAGCCACGGACAGAGTAACTTTTAGCCACGGACAATAGCTAAAACTCAACTTTTTGCCACGGACATTAAATTATCCGTGGTTATATCCCATGTTTTAGCTACGGTTTGTGATTGGAAGGCGGTAACACATGCAGCAATGCGATGCATTTGGGAAGAGTGGAACTAATTAAAAGAATATTTGAGAATGAATGCACATCGTTGGAAAACCTGATAGGACATGCAGTGGCCTTCATCAATTCCTGGATGCTAAGCCATAAGTCCTTTAATGGCTTCAGTTTTGCAGATCTAGACAAGAATCTTTTGGATATCTTGCAATCAACCCTCCTTTGTGTCCAAGACACCCCCCCCCCCCACAACACCTTTATTCTGTGCTTTGATGATGGTAGCCTAAGAAAATCTCAAGAGAACCTGCAAGGTTTTGGCAATGGGGGTGTCATTTTTAGCTTAGCCTCAAGAACATTGGCCACCATAAGAAATAGGAAAAAGAAAAGTTGTTCAACAGGAAAAGAGATAGAGAAAGAATTAGGGTCAAGAAAAAAGACAAGACAGTTGAAATCATGATCATAGCCAAAATTTAAATAAAAAAATAAGAATATAAGAACAAAAAACAATTAAATGTCCTAATAGTGAAGATTTTACCCAAGAAGATAAATGGGTTGGAAGGAAGATCAAGTTCTAAAAGGATCATGAAATCTTAAAAAAAGGCCCAATAGGCTCAAAATCGATATTATAAGCTCAAAACCAGTTGTTTCCCTCAGTAATATCTAAAACATGCAAGAGGTACAGTTACCATCATTGAATAGGAACAAGTTGAATCTGGGTCCTCCCAAAGGGGTTACATGACTATACACATTGTACTCTTGCTTGTTGGAAACTGCTGGTTTGTCCTAGTCTAGCAATTGCTCTGGGTACTTCTCTTTTCTATATTTAATGAAACTTGTGTTGATCTGTTCCTGATTAAAGAAATAACAAAGGCGGCTAACCTGGTTTGATGCATTGCTGCGAATGAGATTGTTCAACAATTCAAGACAGTCCTGTACAGTAACAGAAGTATTAGTGATACCATTAAAGTTTTATAGTATTCATCTGTCATCAATTCATTGCTTAGAAATAAACACAAAAAAGAAATGAAATGTCAGCCATTACATGTAGTTTGAAAAATCAGATGCAAAGATGATACAGAGATCATGTTCTGATAGCAAAATCATAAAATAAAACACAACATTTTTCCCTTCTTGAATCAATAACCAAACAAATTAGAATCATTGTAACCAAGAGATCTGTATAAGGCAAGAGGAACAGATTTCTTAAACATACAAATTAGAAAACCAAAATCATATTATTCTCCATGCAAAATCACATACATTCTCAATATTTTATTAGCATCACATACATTCTCAAATTGAATTTCAATCCCTGCCGGATGTTTTTTCAGCATACAAAAATTGATACTAAACTTCTACTAATATTGCAAGTATCGACACATAAGAAAGAGCCCAAACCTCCCAAAAAAAGACCTAAAATAGCATTCAAGTTAAGGACAAATCCTTATCTTAGGATAGTCTATCCAATCCCCAGTCTTTCCATTTCTCAGCATGGGACTAGAATCTAGCGTTAACAAGAGTATTACCATATGAATAAAAGACTACTTGAACAAGAAAAAACCATAAGCATTGGAGGTGAGGTGTTCAGGGACCAGCTAATGAACATGGTTTTATGTTTCTAAACACAGCATTGCGCGATAAACAGCATGCGCTTTAACAAATTAACATGATGACATAAGCAAAATTTTTAACAAATTCTAAACGACAAAACGCATTAGCACGGTCTTTGACACTACACGATAGGAAGTTTTCAAAGTTTCCAATTTACTGGTTTATGTTAAAAAGATCTCTGCCCATCCCATCCATCAAAATGAAATCTTTCTCTAGCAATATCAAAAATAGCCTGTGCCATATCGCAATACGATTTACCATTCAAAACATTAATCCGTAGATATCTAATCAAGATTTTGTTATTTAATATATGCTGCATAAGTTAAAGACATAGCCCAGTTAAAGAATTAAAGAAAAAAAGGCTCACCCTTGCTTGCACTGATGAGGAGCCGCCACCTTTTTCTTATCCATCCTACTCACAAATTCGAGAACTCAACACCCTACCAGAAACGGCAAGCCTTCAAGCAAAATCTAGAAATGGGGAAGAAAACCCTAAATTCTTGATCGGAAAGAACATAAATATTGCTCTAGCGATCTATAGGAAGATACAAGTATACCCGGTTCCCTTTAAGAAAACTAATGCTATGAACCGAAAAGAATAAGACGTTTCTGAAAGCGGAGACGTCGGAGTGTTTATCAGAGAAAACAGTCACAGTGGAAAAATCGGAATTCTTTATACAAAAATGAGCAGGAATGGCGGCATTTTACACACAGGTGGGAAACGCTAACCCAAGTGTGGAATGAACTAATGATCGTTTTTTCTTGCTTTGCAGGAATCTGCACCCCCTAACCCTCCAAAGAACAGCTCTGAAGAAACCAGAAATTATTGAAAATTAAATAAACACAAAGAAACAAAAAAAGGAATAAAAGACARAGAAGAAATGTACAGAACTCTCAATTCTCAAAGGGCTAGGCGCAAGAGAAATGCATGTAAGCTTCTCGTTCTTATAGGGTGACTTTTGGTTCGAGTGCGAATCGGATTCGATTTCTTGATGGACATAAAAATAGAAATATAGAATAGTATAAGACTGCCTTTGGGAGTGCCTATCCTCTCTCTCTCTCTCTCTMTMTATATATATGGTCAACATGTGGTACCTCATTGCTCATGGCATGTAAATGAGATTGTTCTCATGTTTAATTATTCCCTCCCTAGTGTATATTCACACCCTCTTACATTTAAATATTTTGGCGGTGTTTGGAATCGTGGGGTGTTTTTTAAATAAATGCTGTCACATAGACACCATTTCAGCATTTAGCCCATCATGCTGATCCATATATAAAGAGAGACTCGTAAAAATTGGCTTTGATTTATGTGCATGTCTACTGTTAAGGGAAGTTTCATTTTAATGCTTTCCCAACGGTTAAGCATTTATTCACTRTGATGTTGATGTGATGCCTAATGACACCTAGTTATCAATAAACAATTTCATTATTATTTTTCTTAGTTTTGCAAATAAATCAAGTATGAATGTTTAATAAATAAATGGAAACTATATCAAACACATACATAGTCTAATCTACTTTGTTAGGATTGAAAACTAGATTCATGCAATTAATTATGTTAGAATGTGATGAAGGGTGATTTGGCTCGACCTAGCGAGAAGGGGACACGTGGATACGACTTGACTAAGGGATGACAACTCAGCCTGGCAAGCCTATTTCGCAACGTTTGAGCTCGGGTATTCAGCTACCTCGGCCCAAAACTCACCTCAACATTGGGGCACTTCGGCATCCAATCCRGTTCGAAACTAAAGAATCGCCATGTAACCAACTCCAAAGGTCTCTTCAACGGATCCCAAGTTATTCGAGATCACGATGAGCTAACAGATCTCGAGTTTCTCGAGATCACGATGAGCAAACAGATCCCGAGTTTCTCGAGATCACGATGTGCTAACAGATCTCGAGTTTTTCGAGATCACAATGAGCTAATAGATCCCAACTTTTCCGAGATCACGATGAGGACTCATCCCGGCTCCGCCAGAATCGGAAGCGAAACGATAAGCCTTATCTACGTACTGCTTCTTCGGAAGTGAAACGAACCCTATCTCCACACCACAAAGATCCCGAAGCTCTTTCATGAGACCCACGACTACTCCAGTACATAAAGACGGGAACCTCAAGGCAAAGGTGCACGTGATTACTCTACTCTCTAGCATTCAAGCTCTCAAACTCTTAAACACTCAACTTGCGATTACAACATACTAATTAAGCATCAGAGCGACCTCATGTTTAGAGCATACTAACTTTGATAGAATGGATTTGATAGTACCTGAACTGGTTAGTGGCCATTGTTTTCATTGCTCACTAAAACGAGGTACATTACAGTTGTGCGGAACAAATAACAGTGCTGAAGTCATTTGAAAGAACTTATTGAGATTGGAATGAATTTGTTTTTAATGGGTTAGGATTGGCTTGCAAGTGTGTGCAAGCGGGTAAGAGGTACCTAGGGTCTAGTGTATWTAGAAAGTCTAAAAGAGTATGGCAATGATACCTTTGTTGTCTGAATTCCTGTGTCAACAAGAAATATGGCAATTGGCCTTTTATAGTTTGGCTTTTGGATTTAATTCTAGAAAGTTTCTTTTCTTTATACGCCAAATCCTCTTTTTTCAGGTTATTCACTTTTTTTGGTTGTGTCAAACAGTCAAAGTAGGGATGGACAGAATCGAGTTTTTTTTGAGTTATTCCAATTCAAGCTTTAAATGACTCATTTTTTAATATAGCCGAACTCGAGCCCGATAAAGTTCAACTTGTGAAGTTTGAATTGGTTGGAG